TAGTAATAATAAGCAACTTACAACGGTTTCACTTTACAAACCTCAACCGAAAATCCACAATCCATAAGCAGCAATAGCCATGCTCTCTGCTGCTCGGAGAGTCGGTCATTGTGGCCTTTAACTTCAACAAGCTTGGCTTCACCACTGTATTCTCCATGGAAACGCCATAGCAGCAAATCAGGCATCCCACTAGACCAGCTCCGATAATCTTGAGCCAGAAGTTGGCAGAGAGATGCCAAACAAGTGCCCCCAACACAAGTAACAGCAGCGCGAAGCTCATCCAAAGAATGGGAGTCCCAATTAACTCCTCTACATGCTGTTCCAAAATGTGTTTCCCATGACTTAATAAGAAACTCCTCGGCCATGCCATCACGAATCTGCTGCAGATGGGATTCTATGACACTCTTTCTTGAAGTATAAAAACCATCAGTACCAAAATCTAAAGGAGCATTCTGTAAATTCAAGACCAATGAGTAAAATTACAATGAATGAATATGTCTGTTCATAACAAACACTAAATACGAGTCTTCTAACAATATTTTTTTAACCCTAATTGAGTAAAAGGCAAAAGTACAAATAATCAACATAAAGTGGTAATTCTAGCATTACACAGTTAAACTAATGTCTTCGGTTAAACAATAACAAAATAACCATGAAAATAATCAGATTCATAATGGATGATGGTAACAGTTATGCCCTTAATTAGAAGTCCATGGAAAGAAAAAAAATCCTCTATCCCTTAATTTGTCAAGCTTTAATTTTAAAGGTAGGAGGAGCCAACGAGGCTTCCCTGAAGCAGCTTCTGAGAAGTGACTTGTAAGACAACTTAAGATTGTGAACTCGAGCACAGGTGAAAAAGGCTCAGCAAACTGGTAACGTAGAGTAACAATGGAAAGGGAACTAGAGACAGGTAAAAAAGGGAAAAGCAAAACTTGATAATGACCTTTGTCAACAATCTATTTATAGTTGAAACTGCTGTGGAAATTTTATTCAACATCTCCAAGACATCGTACACGAAATATAGTAATGCAGCACAAAGTTGAAAGCTGAGAAAGACGGGAGGGTTAATTAACTGAATAAAATGTACCTGAAATCTAGTATAAAAGACATTTGGTACATCAGCATATATGACATCCCACATAAGTAGCCCAAAAATGGTTAACCATATCCCACTCTCTGCGTGAACACCTTGCCATCCACCTCCATCCCTAGCATAGTAATTCAAAGCAAGCTCTTCCACTCCACATTGTTTCCCCTCTTCATTGTAGTACCTACTCTTTCCTCCCAAATCAGAATTCAATGGTCTCCCTTGAACAAAAACCTGAATCATTACAACCACAATGAGAAGGCCTTGTTAAAGAAAATCAGAAATGTTAATTTGAAGAGAGTAGGACACAAGCAAATTATAGGTAAGAATCAATGAATCATAAAACAATAAGCAATTTACCTGAGGGATCTTCTGCAGTGCAGACCTAGAATAACTAGGAACTTTCCAGCGCCTTGGTGGTTTACCTAGACGAAGAACCCGCCTTTGCAGTGCCATTCTTGAACCAGCACGTACCCATGGATCCAGCAACCCGTTTTCAGATACTTGGAGACTCTCATCAATGAAGCCCAGGTGCTCCAAATCAATTGATAACCTCAGTGTCCAATATCCTCTTCTTAAATCAGAAGGGAAAACATTTAGCAGCCATCTGAGCAAATTAATTGCGTCAGTGTACCTGAGAAACAAATGTCAGTTCTTCCATGAACCCATGTAAGCAAATACATATGCTCCATCTATTTCTAAATAAATGAAAATCATGCTTACTTAACATCCTTAGAGTTAAGGCTGTATGGAGGCGTAACATTATTGGAGTTCATTCCATTAGGAGCTAGATCTAGTGTTCATCTTTTATATGTGACGCTATTTCACTCAGTAAATATGGATAAAATCTATTGTTGAGGCTGAGGAGGAAATGGTGCAGGAACATGAGTTGTGCAGAACTAGAGTCGATAAATCAATGACAATAAGTAAACAGGAGGCAAATAAAGCAATGAGGTGTACCCTGAAGAGACCTGAAACTTTGCATCATAGTACTCATAAGTTGATATAGCAATCGTATGATCATCACACTTGACCAGATTTTATGGTGCTAGTGGTTAGAGAAAATAGACCAGGCAGCTTAGAACAGGTTTGTTTGAATACTTCGTATGACCAGTTTCAACATAAATATAACATAAGAGAGCATCATCGAACTAGCAATCATCACATTTCCAATTGGTTCTTAAAGGCAGTAATCACCAGAATCAAAGGCTTTGCCCGAATCATTACTTAAAGAAGCATAAGATATTGGTGCCACTAGGGCTGTAAGAAACATTCAATCGCGGTTCCACCACTTATTCTAGCTTCTACTTCTCCACATCATTAGTAACAAGAAACAGGGATCTAACATGACTCATACAGCTTCAAGGAAATAGATACAGCAAAACCCATCACATAGGACACATTCAAATTGTTTCCACTGTAACAATGTGAGCTGGACTGCTGACTCTATTTCACATATTCACAGCTATTTCGACACTTCTCACATAGAAGTCTTAGATCCACAAAAAGGAGATTGGCCACAAAATAGTGCTTCGAATACTTGTGGGACTTAATGTCAAAGATTGTACTATTCATGGCATGGGCAACAGGTAGCAAAATGGGTTTCTTCTTCTATAGATTGGGGTTTGCAGTACTTCTGGTATTGAAAAGTACCACATCACTACTAAGTGCTCACAGGTTGCAGCAAATGAATACTGTTTTGGCCACTAGCTCACGCAACAAGATTCATTAGGGCTTGTACAATTGGGTTTGTATCAGTTCTGTTCTGTGTAATTGAAGAAAATCATCTTCCTCTGATTTTGTATTTCACTGCAACTGTAGTAATAAGAGAAACTCAACTAGATTTTATGTTTACATTATCCACTTTATAACAACTATGGTGCAAGGAATTGATCTTACTATTTTTTATTTTACAGAAACTGTTTGTCGAGTAAATAGAAAGAAAAGTGATTGAAGTAGATTGGGGAAGAAGTCGCTATTGTTGTGTAAATTCTAGAATAAATACATTTAAATGTATGTAAGCCATATCATGTGTTGGTTTTTTAGGATTTCCCATATCCTCGTATCTATTAGGATTTAACTATCTGGGTTTCATAGTTAAACAAACTATGATAGTTAGTTAAACTATGATAGTTCACAACTAAAGAGCATTATAGTGCTAGATACAGTCATCCATGGAAGGATCTAATAAATTCTAAAACCAGAAACCGTTAAGAGCTAAAATATCATCATCTAATTTTGTCGTAGGTAGTAAGTAGACTAGACTTAAAAGTGAGTCCTTGTCGAGTGGATGGAACAGTAGATAAATAATTGAGGATAATTTGCATCGATTTATTATAACTCTACTGCCCCACTGATTTATGATTGCCGTTCCTAAAACTGATAGTAATAATACCATACTACACAAGCTCCAAAACGTTTTTACCATGAATTTTAAAGACTTCACTCTCGTACATGTTTACTACATATCGTATAGGTTTTGATGCCGTTATGTATCCATTTGAACAAGATTTAAGGGTTTGCTAATAAACCTCAAAACTACCTGCGCTCCTGCTCAAGGAAAGAAATCCCCACGGTGACCACTTTGGAGTATACCCATGATGCTGTAAATAAGTGCTGAATTGAAGATACTGATTCAGAAGTTGAGTACCGGTCAGAAAAATCAGTAGATACACGGGATTCAGCTAGCTTTATGCACCTTAATACCACTTCAATTTTATTTGTATCAAGAGATTCATCCATAATTTGTGCCACTTCAATAGCCTGAAAACCTAATGTCATATATGGAAGAAGGAACGGAAGACCACTAACACCTCTGAACTTGGATATGTACCTCTTCATAAGAGAGCAGATTCCTGCGATTTGAGAAAATTGGTTCTGATATTATGCAGTTGTAAGCTGGATACTTAATTTTTCCCATATCCACAAGTAGAAAGGACGACAGATCCTGTTCTCCATTTAAGAAGAAAAGTCTCTGCAAAAGGAATATTGTTTACATCAGACCTAAATATTACCCAATTTGAATAAATCCTTTAATCAAAATTAGCAGAGATCAAAGAGGCACCTCAGTACGCCACATAAGAGACTCAGATTTTGATGAAATCCTAATACAAGAACTAGATCTTTCCAAAATCATAGTTGATAATTGTGACCTGCATTCAACGGGAAGCAAATATTAAATAAAACATATTTGACTCCACAAATTATAAAATCACAACTAGAAGTTTAATACCAAGGTACACCAGCGTCACTAGAAATAATGGATGAAATCAGATGCTGCTTCTTCAACCCATGACCACCACCCTAGAACATTAATAGAATATACTACATTTAATAGTTAGTTCATAAGAAAGCTGACAAGGAGACAGCAAATAACACACATCAGATGCATTACCTAATTAATTTTTTAACATATAGGTTTGTATAGAGAAACAAAAAATATTCAATTGTTTGGCCCGTATCTGTCCACACAGCCCTCTTACTATGTAGTCATCAGAAGCCAATATTCAATCTAGGAACTTCTACAATGGATACAACCAAATTTAGAAGGATCCATCCAAAAAGCTCCATTCACTTGTCACAAAATACACATTATGCTCAGGATGCACTCCTATAAGGATAACAAACTAAGAAAAAAAAGAAAAACAAAAAAAAAAAAAAGAGATTGCACAATCGACCCAATAAGTACAAACCATCCATTTGACAACATTTTGCAATAAGATAAGCTTTGTAACTGATCAAATCAAATCAACACAAATCCTCCCGAATCAATTTTCCTAACACTTAAAGGCAACGATCTTATGCAGTCATTTAATTTAGAAACAAAAAAGAAGAAGCAATAACCTAATAGGTAGACACTGAACATCAACTAATGTCATTGCCCTTAACTTCTTTGGAAGCAAAGTAACAAACGGTAAACTCAGAACCTTCAGAAAACAATAAATTCGACCATGACAGATTTCAGAACAGGCAATTTCATATCACTTAATGTGTATCAGAGGATACAACTATTATTTAATAGCAGAAAGAGATTGATACACAGGTAACTTGCACACAACGACCAACTGCCTACTATAAAAATTAATAAGAAAAATCTAAGAAAAACATTATGTGTGTGTGTAGTCCTAAAACAAGCAATTAATTCTTACCTTTTTTAGTGAAATGCTCCAAATTTCACGCAATTCAGAAACATTGAGGACATTCAAGATATCTTTCACATCACTCATACATAGTTGATTCGCATCTTCAATAAAATGTATGTATTCTTTATCTGCAACATGTATACCAAAGATACAGGTTACAAAGGAGGAATCAGATTTAATAGCAAAAGATCAAATCATATTTGCATGGAAAGAAGAAATGAACCTTACGAATTATATTGAATTACCAGCAAGTTCCTTCACTGCCTTTTGAGTATCCACTATTTCAGAATATGAAATGCTAGACATGCGAAACCAAGGTCCTTCATGAGAACCCAATATAAAAAATTTATCAATTCGAAATCAACAAAAACTTCAAAAATGATTAATAGGCAGCTCAGAAAATCACTTTAAAAAATAGGCATATTCTCTCATAACAAGTGGCACAAAAAGATCTCTACTTGGATACAAACAGAAGCATTTATTTCAGAGACGAGTGGGACTGTCACGACATGAATAATAAGAGCATCAACATTAGTGATGTGACATAAGTTTTAGTGCCCGATGGAAGACAACCGGAATTTAAAATAAGTATGAAATTTAAATAACCTTTTCTAGTGTATAGCCGGATAAAAAGCCTCTGACTTTCATTTGAGAGTAAAGTGAATGAATCTGTCCAATCATCCATAGATGAGACATTGTTTAAAATATCTGACTAAGAATTTAAAATAAAATAAAAGTCAAGAGTATTAATACCCATATAGGTTTTCTCATCTTCAGTTAAAAGGTGAATATTATTTCTTAACGCTTCTTGTAGCATAAGAAAAAAATTCAGCTGATACTTTACAGTTGAAGGAGGATTCCTTCTTTCAAATTTAACAACGTGTTGAACATTTTTCCATAAGCATATAAATGTCTCATCAGCGTACTTGCTTTCACCATTTGCCGTTTTGTGACACGTAACCTGAATTGGCACGATTTCGAGAGAATGTTTTGGAACAGAAGTAACATGCCCCTGGGACAAGTTCCAAAGAGAAAAATAATGAGGCTGAGTATTAAGTTGCTTAATCCACAATCTTTTGAGTAATTAGAAGAATTGTCAAGTGATCTTTAGAATAAATGAGTAAATTAAACAAGAGGGCCAGTAATTTCAAAAGAACGTAATTAGAGCACTTATCCAAAAATTCTAGAAGAATGTCAGTCATTACTAATAGGTGGTTTATTGGGTTATATTACAATGTCTTTAGTTTCTTTTATATGCTGTCAAACCCAAAACGCTAAACTTACTCTGTCCACAGAACAACAAGAATCACAAATTTAACCTTGAAACCACCTGCAAAATCCCTTTAATCTCATATACATCCAATGAAACTTCAGCCACCGATTATCAATTATTGATATATTCTATATATCACATAATGCAAGAATCAACTCTTCAAGTACCTTCTATTTCAATAATCCAATTGACACAACTAAAAGAAAAAAGTGAAGTGACAAAGGCACATTAATACATAACAACTCATGAACAGTCTAAAATTTTGAATACCTGAAATCCAAGGCCATAGTTATCAATAAGAGGAGATAGGTACTGGGCTAGATGGCGGGGAAGAAAACCTAACGACTTACAGCATGCAGAATCCCCAGAAACAACCTGAACCAAGAGCAACAATGAGCTCCTTCAAACTACAAACAGAAGATACCACTATTATAGAGGGAAAAGAAACAAACCTTAACGGCATTGGGGTCCTTAACATTTTGAGGGTCCCTCAAAAGAGATATGGCGGTTCCAGCACATATTTCGTCTGGATTATCAGCGTGCCTCCGGCCAACGATGAAAGTTTCAAGCGTGGCACCAAGCACATCAACTGGTTTAGAATCATCAGGCACCCCACTGTTCAGGGGCGAGGAAGGCGAGGAAGATGAGGAAGTGGCAACAAGTGTAGAATTAACTCCAGTCTCGTGTTTTTCAGGCGGTTCTTGTTTATCGCAATTTTCCTCTTCTTCACAGCCGTTATTTGGAAGAGGAAGGAAGGAGGCACTGTTAGATTCGTGAGAGAGACTCTGGAGTTTAGGTTTGGAATTGGATGGGGAAAAGTTTAACTCAAGGAGGGTGCGTTGGGAAAGCTTTCGTTTTGTTGCCGGTTTTGGTTGTGATTGAGAGAGACACACATCTGAGAGTGAAAATCGAGATGAGAGAGTTTAAAGAAACACTGATGTAAGCAAGAATATCAACGTGAATAGCGTGCACACATACCGAGATGAGAGTTTATGCGGTTGTGATCATCACCGGGAAGGTTGCGGCCGCAAACAGGGCACTGTACGTCGCCGCTTTGATCTGGTTGCTGCGGCGGTTGTTCAACAACCTGAAAATGAAAACGATGAGAATGTGTCACTCAAAACATCAGCACAAAGAAAGAGATTGAAAAAGATCCGATGCAATACCGGATTCGGGCTGGGGTTCGGGTTAGGGTTAGGGTTAGGATCAGGGATGGGATCGGAGAGGATAGAGCGGCGATTGGGGAGGAAGCGCCTCCGTCTGCCAATTAATCGAATCAAGCTTTCTCTGCCTGTGAGCACCATTTCTAATGTCACTACTGCACGCTGCACAAAGGGAAAGAGAGGGAAAAATAACCATACCCTTAAATCTCCCGCCATTTTCACCATCTTTATTGTCATTCATGAAAAGTAAATTAAATGAAATTGATTGAAGTCTCCCCACTCTCTTTTGTTTTAATTTTTTTTATAATAATATGATAATATGATACATTTATGTTATTTTACATATTTTATTTATACGACAATAAATATATACACACACATATATATATATATATATATGAGGGAAAACACGATTATGCTTGTATGTTTAATATTTTATTACACAACAAAAACAAAATAGATTCCATAATTAAAATTATATTTACTTCTAGGAAACCGTTGATAAAATGATCATAATATACCTAACCAACTGTCATGATAATTATATAATTGTAAAAAGAAAAATTGCGTACGCAACAAAGAAACGTCCATAAAAGATAATTCTATCGTCATATGATATGTAAAGTATAGATTATTAAGTTATTATGTATATAATCATTAAATCATAAATGAATTATTAAAAATTAAAAATGTAGTGAATATATCATCATGTATACTATTTATATATCATTAGTAAATATATCATACTCAATATTCATTTTTAAATTTTCATATTTTAAATATATAAATGTATTATTATATATTTGGTAAATAATACTTAAACTACTTCATATAGTAAATATTTTTTTTGTTCAATATAATATATATAATTAATTGGTATATTAGTAAAGCTCATTATATAATTAATTGGTGATTGGTAAAGGACGAGACTATAAATTTGAGAATAATTGAGAGAGCTCATTTTAATGTAATTAAGGTTTTGTTTTTTCTCGTTGGCATGAAAACTGAACCGATCCATCAATTTTATTAAGAATGTCTAGTTAAGTGTTAGCTAACATTAAAGTAAGATCATTTCATAATCGGTAAATAACTCTCGTTAAACCAATCTAAAATTACTGAAATATAATGCAAAATACTGTTTTGAATAAAAGAATTAATCTACTTTCTTTATCTTTTATTTAATCTAAAACATTTTCAAATTAAGAAACAAATAAACATTTTAAAACTCACATAAATATGAATAACTTTCTCAACTATTATTGATTTTAATTAATAAAACTTACAGTTTGATCATTGTATAAATGTACAATTAAAAAGATCTGATTTCTCCTTATTTCAATTATTTTAAAATATTTCATAATAGTAAAAATATAATTCAATACTTCCTTATAGAAGTTTTTAATCAGTTATGTAGTCAAACATTGATTGAATCTCAACCAATTCAATGACTAGTATACTATAAAAATTACTAATAGTAGTATTTTAATTTTACGTGGCTCATGTCCTGACAAGTATGTAAACAATTCATACATTAAACCCTAAACTGTAAAATTATTCATCAAGTTGTAATTTATCATCAAGAATTATGTGTAGAAAATATTTATTAACTATTGATTTTTATATTTAAATATGTAGATTTGCTAAAGCACCAATAATATTTCCATCCAATTTCATATGGAAAATCTATCCAAAAGAACCATTATCAAAATGGAGACCTGCTTACAATAGAACGATCCAAACAAGAAAATGCACTTACAACGGTTTCTAAGGCCGTCATTGTATTATTAGAGCTATGCGAAAATTTGTTAACAAGATTTGTATAAAATTCACAAAGTAATAGGCTGAACAAAAAGAGTTCACGACGACTCAATAGTCCCTCTTTCCTTGACCAGCTTTCCCAGTTCAATATTGGAGATTCTTATTTAATTTTAATCCTAATGAAACTCGAGAGAAACATCTCTGCAAAATTCAATTGCCCAGACAGTTTATAATCTGGCCTGGGCATACTATAATTGATGGTGCATACGTCTTTTGAACAGACACCAACTGGTGAGGATTTTCACCCCCACCATAGGTCCAATAATCTATAGTTGTTTACTGCAGAATAAGAAGAGAAAGAAAGGACATGTTATTACTGTTAACTAGTCGAACGAGTTTGTTGGACTACTGAATCTGTGGCACTCCGAGTTCTGCTCAGAAATGGAGCATAGACGCCAGATAACCTACCCAGCCCAAACAAGCCAGAACTAGATCCATTGGTTCTACTCTCCTGAAAAGACGTCCCAAACTAACAAGGTCAAAACTCAAAAACATATATTTAAGAAAAATGTGGGTAACAGGTTAAGAAAAATGTGGGTAATACAGACAATAAAATCATGCAAATACGAATTTAAGTTACAACTACAGACAACTGTAATCGAATGGAAAATATTTTTTTAATTGTGAAAATCACATCATAAAAATAAAACTGGATTTTCCAAGGAAAATGCATCATTTCACCAAAATGAACACAAACTTGTCAACTTTTAGCCACACATCCCACAAATATGTAAAATTAAAAATCACAGTAGCAAAAAACATAGCCAAACGATGTCATGTGAAACAAATAACTGTTCCCACTTCACACCTCTCTAGTAAATTAATCTGAGTAAGCAAAACAGAATATTGCAAACCTGGACAGATCCACCAGATGTCGATGGAGATGGTTGATCAGTCGATATAGTTGATGGCGATCCATCCTGTTAAGAAAACAAAATGGTAGGAAAAACTAACAATTAGCACAAGTAGTGAAGCAGTAAAAGCTTTTAATTAAAAGTAAAACACAGTTACAAAGACTGCACAAACTTATATGAAGGATTTGGATGAGTTGAGAGACGACAAAAGTGACAAAACCCTTATGTAGAAGAACTTATATGAGAGGAAGGGATGGGAAAGTCTATACAAGGAGCATGAATAAACAAATACACCAACAGCCACACCCGTAATTTGGATGTGTTTATGTGATTCTTTCCAAATACCAACTGCATTACTAGATTCAGGGTTTGTTTGGTTGAGCAAGAGACAGTAAGTTGGAATGAAGAAAAAAATATTTAAGTCATGACTCAAACTGAAAATAAGTACATTTTGTTTTCCAGCTTCTCATGTAGGCAAGTGTAACCTTCATCTCAACTCCCCTACTGTCCACCTTTCGAACCATGCAGATACTAAGACTAAAGCATACCCAGGAAGTATAATTTCTATATAGAAGTTACCTTTGCTGATGGCGTAACAGAAGGTGGCTCAAGTGACAGCCTAGACGAACCCGACTGTGAACCCTGTATAATACAGACTAGGAGTAAGCATAGGAACAATTTTCAAAGGAAGTGGACAAGCGAAAGTCTTCGGGAGGGAGTGAGGGGGCTACAATACAAAACCAAACTTGATGACTGCATTCATTCTTTAGCTTACAGCTTTATTTNCAGTTGAAGGAGGATTCCTTCTTTCAAATTTAACAACGTGTTGAACATTTTTCCATAAGCATATAAATGTCTCATCAGCGTACTTGCTTTCACCATTTGCCGTTTTGTGACACGTAACCTGAATTGGCACGATTTCGAGAGAATGTTTTGGAACAGAAGTAACATGCCCCTGGGACAAGTTCCAAAGAGAAAAATAATGAGGCTGAGTATTAAGTTGCTTAATCCACAATCTTTTGAGTAATTAGAAGAATTGTCAAGTGATCTTTAGAATAAATGAGTAAATTAAACAAGAGGGCCAGTAATTTCAAAAGAACGTAATTAGAGCACTTATCCAAAAATTCTAGAAGAATGTCAGTCATTACTAATAGGTGGTTTATTGGGTTATATTACAATGTCTTTAGTTTCTTTTATATGCTGTCAAACCCAAAACGCTAAACTTACTATGTCCACAGAACAACAAGAATCACAAATTTAACCTTGAAACCACCTGCAAAATCCCTTTAATCTCATATACATCCAATGAAACTTCAGCCACCGATTATCAATTATTGATATATTCTATATATCACATAATGCAAGAATCAACTCTTCAAGTACCTTCTATTTCAATAATCCAATTGACACAACTAAAAGAAAAAAGTGAAGTGACAAAGGCACATTAATACATAACAACTCATGAACAGTCTAAAATTTTGAATACCTGAAATCCAAGGCCATAGTTATCAATAAGAGGAGATAGGTACTGGGCTAGATGGCGGGGAAGAAAACCTAACGACTTACAGCATGCAGAATCCCCAGAAACAACCTGAACCAAGAGCAACAATGAGCTCCTTCAAACTACAAACAGAAGATACCACTATTATAGAGGGAAAAGAAACAAACCTTAACGGCATTGGGGTCCTTAACATTTTGAGGGTCCCTCAAAAGAGATATGGCGGTTCCAGCACATATTTCGTCTGGATTATCAGCGTGCCTCCGGCCAACGATGAAAGTTTCAAGCGTGGCACCAAGCACATCAACTGGTTTAGAATCATCAGGCACCCCACTGTTCAGGGGCGAGGAAGGCGAGGAAGATGAGGAAGTGGCAACAAGTGTAGAATTAACTCCAGTCTCGTGTTTTTCAGGCGGTTCTTGTTTATCGCAATTTTCCTCTTCTTCACAGCCGTTATTTGGAAGAGGAAGGAAGGAGGCACTGTTAGATTCGTGAGAGAGACTCTGGAGTTTAGGTTTGGAATTGGATGGGGAAAAGTTTAACTCAAGGAGGGTGCGTTGGGAAAGCTTTCGTTTTGTTGCCGGTTTTGGTTGTGATTGAGAGAGACACACATCTGAGAGTGAAAATCGAGATGAGAGAGTTTAAAGAAACACTGATGTAAGCAAGAATATCAACGTGAATAGCGTGCACACATACCGAGATGAGAGTTTATGCGGTTGTGATCATCACCGGGAAGGTTGCGGCCGCAAACAGGGCACTGTACGTCGCCGCTTTGATCTGGTTGCTGCGGCGGTTGTTCAACAACCTGAAAATGAAAACGATGAGAATGTGTCACTCAAAACATCAGCACAAAGAAAGAGATTGAAAAAGATCCGATGCAATACCGGATTCGGGCTGGGGTTCGGGTTAGGGTTAGGGTTAGGATCAGGGATGGGATCGGAGAGGATAGAGCGGCGATTGGGGAGGAAGCGCCTCCGTCTGCCAATTAATCGAATCAAGCTTTCTCTGCCTGTGAGCACCATTTCTAATGTCACTACTGCACGCTGCACAAAGGGAAAGAGAGGGAAAAATAACCATACCCTTAAATCTCCCGCCATTTTCACCATCTTTATTGTCATTCATGAAAAGTAAATTAAATGAAATTGATTGAAGTCTCCCCACTCTCTTTTGTTTTAATTTTTTTTATAATAATATGATAATATGATACATTTATGTTATTTTACATATTTTATTTATACGACAATAAATATATACACACACA